GTTCATTATGAAAGCCTCTTGGGGGGAGGTGTGACATTTCAAATGGAAAATGGAGTGACCTGGTTTAAACAAAAGTTTGACGCTGGTTCCTGGGAACTTGGAAAGATTGCCCCCCCCAAAAAAAGTCATTGCAGGACATTGGGATCTAAAAAGCTTCCTTATTCTGATTCATAATTAATGGTCGTTCTGTTTTAATATCCTCTGCCTGCAGCAGGAAAGGAAACCCAGGGCTCTACAGGTGTTGTTACATTCTAACCCCCATCAGCCTTAGCCAGCCTCGCCCATGGTAACGGATGATGGAATTGCAGTCCAGCAATAAATGAGGGAGCACACTCTCCCTGTCTCGATTTACACTGGAGAATGGCCCTTACAAACCGGAGCTTTCCTCTCAGTTTGGCACCGTAAAAGAATGAGAGAGAAAGCAGGGGTCAGCTGTTGGCAGTGCCCTCCAGCAAGGGAGAATGTCAGCAAAGGGAGGAGGAGTTAGAAACTAGGAAACTTTGTAGTGCTTAATGCTTGCGGAGATGGCCTGGCCAGGAATGTGGCAGCATTGCTGGAAGGCTCCTCAGGATGGTTTCCTTTTGTTGTGTTTTTTAAGTATTGGTTGCCTCTGCATTTGGGGATTTCAGGAGAGCAGTGCAGGGGACAGCTGCTGTTGTCACAGTGAGGCAGTCACCTCCTATGTGAGGTGCTAGAGCAGTACAGTACAGGGGACAGCTGCTGTTGTCACATTGAGGCAGTCACCTCCTATGTGAGGTGCTTCATTATTTCCATGGGCAGCAGCCCTGTGCATATCTCTCGCAGAGCCCAGGGGGTGTGGAAAGATGTTCCTCAGTATAAACCTTACATCTTTCTCCCCCTGCCAGAGACTGAGGGAAAGTTCTCCACATCAATTGGCTCCAGAGGTCTCTGAAGGGAAGAGATGGTTGGTAATCCAGGCCTCAATGAGAGAGAGAGAGAGAGAGAGACTTTGGGCAGACTTCAGGCATACATCAAGTGCTCCATTTTTTTTAAAATGTAGGGGTTACACAGGCAGATAAATGTTAACATACAGGTGCCTTCCTATCAATTTTGTAACTCTTTTTCTTATATGTTTGCATGTTTCTAGCCTAAAAGGATAAGCATGTGAACAGCCCTATCGCCGTGACTGCAGTAGGAGGAAAGAGTTCTGTTTTCCTTTTTTTAAAGGTTTATATGTCACAGATAAAAAAGAACCTTAATCTATGCACTGTGTTCGGCAAGGCGTCAGTGTTTCCAGGATGTGCACACTGGCAAACTTCTGTTTGTTTCATTTTTATACCACTGATCTGGCTGAAGGCTACTCTGAGGTGTGATCCTGTGTAAGGCAATTCTTTTGTGAGTAATTTCCAATGAGATGGCAGCAAAAAAAACCACACACACAAAAAAACCAAAGGTCTTTTGCCACTTTAAGGGTTATACATTTTAATTGGTGTTAGCTTTTTGTGCATTATTTTGTGCATTATTTTTCTGCTTTTTCAGATCTGAAGACTACCAAATTTTATTTGGTTTCTTTAGATCTGAAGCGGAGGGCCACAGTCCCTGAAAGCTTATACTAAATAAAACTTGGTAGTCTTTTAGGTGCTACAAGGCTGCTGATTGTCTTCTCCAAGCTGTGGGATAGCAACAGAGGGAACTTCACCATGATAACCATAGGCATCTTGCGAATTTAGTCTTCTGAATATCTAAACACTAAACAGTACAAGTTTGTCCCCTCCTCCCTCTTTTACCACCACATAGTAAGGAATTAATATTTGCTGCATGAGGTAGAAGTGTAGGAAGCTCCTCTTTGCCTTGGAATCTAGAATGTGCTGAGTAAACCAGTGAAGCTGTTAAAGCTCATCTTCCTACACCCATTTTACCACTGGAATAAAACTGGAGTTGTTAAGACCAGTTGCATTCCTTTAGCTGCTTGTGTGTTTGGTATTTGGATGTGTTTACACAAACATCACAGGCAGGTTTACTTGCAAATAGAGATTCAAGGCAGAACATCCATCCCGTTTTTCCCATGAAAGTGGTGAGTTATTTTTTAAGTTGCTCTTTCCTGTTCTAAATTTATTTTTGATTTGCAGCAAGCAGTATTCAAAAATTTGAGATCAGTCAGTAGTCTTAAACAAAGAGATGAATGAAATCCCTATCCCCTGAGACCTTATTTTCTCTAGTTGTGTAGAGGGAACAAAAGAAGGAAAACAGGATCATTATCGCTATTGTTGTTCCAAATTGCAGTTCATTATGAGTCTGTGGTGGCTGGACAGCTCAGTGACCTGGAGTACCTGGCTGCAGAGTCAGAGGTTGGAAGTTTGATTCCCTGCTGTGTATCCCAGGAGAAGAAACCAGTTTGAGCAGCCTTGGGCAAGCTGCAGAGTCCCAGAGCAATTCCCCACCCCTCAGAAGGCACAGGTAAACCACTACTCATTACTTTATTCCAAGGAAACTGTGGCCAGGCTCACCATAAAGCAAAGTGTGCCGCTTATATACCACCCCATAGCGCTTCAAGCATTCGCTGGGCGGTTTACAATTTAATTATACAGGCTGCACATTGCCCCCCCAGTGAGCTGGGTACTCATTTTATCGACCTCGGAAGGATAGAAGGCTGAGTCAACCTTGAGCCGGCTACCTGGGATTTGAACCCCAGGTCGTAAGCACAGTTTTAGCTGCAGTACAGCGATTTAACCAGACAGTATACAGTTCTTAACACTCCAGTGCAGATCTCAGGTCCGGACCTTTTCAAGTATATATTTTGCAGCACAGCAGTCCTGGTTGGGATGAGCGGTCCTATCCATGATGGCCAATTGTTTGACTGGAGGTTTTGATAGATTTCCGGGAATCCAAGTTTCCCCAGAACACTGCAGTCTTTGATCTGACTCATTTCCACGAAAGGGTCTCACCAGTGAGGGAGCCATGGCAAAGACTTGGAGGCGCTCAAAAGAAAATGGGACAACCAGCTGTCAGATAACATTTGATTTGTACTCCTGCACTGAGCAGCGGGTTTGACTCAATGGCCTTATAGACCCCTTCCAACTCCATCATGCTATGGTTCTGTGGTTGTTTTTATTATTACAATCCCCTTGTCAATATTCACCACAAAAGCTAGATTTTCTAAAAATGATATGGTGTGGATTGTTGTTGTTACTTTATCAATAATGTCATTAATGCTAATACTATTATATAATTTTATTTATTTTGTATTTGTTATTATTTATCTCTTTATCTTAACTGGGCTTGGGATTGAAGCAAATCATTACCTAGGCCAGACGTCGTCTAGTCGTTTAGTTGTGTCTAACTCTTCATGACCCCATGGACCAGAGCACACCAGGCCCTCCTAGGCCAGACATCTAGTTGAAAAAAGGCCTTTGGTGCTGTTCAGGTAGAAGAGGGCATGAACTAAAGGACCTTCAAAGAGTGTACTCTACAGTAATACACAGTGCCTCCCACACACACACCTGCTTCTGGTATTTCCATGTGACCTGGAGATTCATGTCATGTTCTTTAGAACAAAGTTGAGTTTACTTCTCAAATATATATAATATATATAAAAGCAACAAATATGTGATTTTTGGAACTGATTCCATAAAAGTTGTAAGGAAGCATAGCTTTTCATTCTTAGCAGCAGCAACAGCTCCTCCTCTTAAAACACCGATCCTGGCAGATGCCTGCCCAGTTTGGTTGCAGAGTTTTTATTCTGCCTACTTTGATCCACCACTCTTATCACAAGAAGCAGGTGATGCACTATGGGCTTCCACCTTTTGCACATGTGCAAAGAAAGAAAGTCATGTAAACCCATGGGCTTTCTTTGCAGAACTTGTTAGTAGTGGAGTGGCGCAGGTGTCGAGGCCTTTGTACTCTGGTGAGCAGGGAAAGGAGGAAAATCTGGGACCAGCCATGAATGTGTTTTCCACTTGGTTTAGCCAATGACCCGTCTTCCTAAATGGAGCCTCTGTCTGCTTGGTAATTGCCTCGTGACTGTCTGAGGAATGCAGCAGAACACAGGAGGTTGAGAGGTTTAGGCATTAATTTTGTGAGCAGTGGGGTGCTAAGCCGGAAAAAATCATACGAGAAACTCTGGCTTCCATCTAGTACTTGCCAGTCACTGGAGGTGGAGGTTTGATGCAGGAACAGTTGCCTCCATATCTAAGGGAAATGGAATTTCTGTGTACAGCTTTTTACAGTGACTGCTTTACACAATATTTCTATACACCACTTTTTATAAGCACCAATATGCTTTTTTTTTAATGTAAACTCTTAAAATACACAGTTGTTACCTATTTACATGTACAGGTTGTGCCCATAGTTGGGCTGCAGATGTACTGAAATAATGGTTTATGGATAGTTCAGAAAGCAGGAATATTGAAATCCTTGCCAGCCAGATAAGAAGCTTTGCTGTTTTCCATACGAGATACTTTGTCTGTTGGGATACTTGCATTCCACCTTTCATTTGGTAGCTCACACGTTCAGAGAATTCTGGAACAGCTGAAACAGCAATGGCATACGTAAAAACAGGGTGAAAACCTGTGGGGGGGAAATTAAAATCTGATAGCTAAAACAAATTCAGATACCTTGCCTCTTTTGCTGCTCTGATCCATGAGTATTTTCTTTCACTTTTTTCATCTTTATGTTCTGTTTGTTTATTTAATTTTAAATAGATACCAGCTTTCTTGTTTTAAAAAAGCTGAAATGGTTCTGAATGTGATTTTTATATGCTACAGGTTGCTTGAGGCAGCCATGGAGATGTCTGTGTCAGGTAGTTTATATTGCCGAAGAATACTGGCGGTACTGAAACCCCTGTGATCAGTTTGGTCCCATCAAAGTCTGGGAGCATTGTTTGTAGCTCCAGTGTGGCAGGAAGCAGTCAGAAGGCTCCAAAATTGGGAACAATCTAGTATAGCCACTTGACACAGTGCCAAGGCTGCTCCTGACAGAAGACAGATGCCAGCACTTCAGATCCATGGGAGGCGTTGTGTGTGTGTGTGTGTGTGTGTAATTGTTCTGGGCTGAGGGTCAGATGCCATGGTTCACTCATACACTAGCACTTGCCGGAAGTAGAACCACCTTGTGGGACTCTGAGGCTTGCAGGGTTTGAAGGGAAGGCCTGGCACATTTGAAAGAAAGCAGCTCAGGGCCTTTACATTTATATTTTGTGGAGACTCAGCCATTTGAATGACACAGCTTATTGGAGAGAGTGGATTTCTGTTGTCTTTTGCTTTAGGATACAGTTAAGAAAACACGTTTGTGGGCGGGAGGCTACCACTCTTCAGTTCTCACAGGCAAGATGGCCACTGCCTTGATGGCTATGTGAGTCAGGAAGTTACAATCCAGAAAAAAAACTTTTCCCATCTCGAGGTCCTCTGTTTGTTACCTGCGTCTCAGTGCTTGGGAGCCCATACCCTCTAGCCAGAGGACCGCACCGCAATTCTGTGTTCTCTCTTTGATGCTATAGCACAGTGACAGGACACTGTGTTATATTACGGGCAAAATGTGCCTCCCCCAAGACACTCTTAAGCTTACTGTGCAAAGCCTAATGGGTGGTTAGGGACTTCTGTATTTGCCCAGTCAGCCATGTGGAAAAGGAGAAGCTGCAGTGTAGACTCTTCCTGTTTACACTGTAGTAGTTGATGCATTGAAAATGCATATCTTATATAGTTGTGACGGGTTGTGGGATAGTTTTTAAAATTTAAAATACTACTTCCTGAATTACCAAACTACAACCTGAATATTAAAGTTTCAACTGTTTGTTTGTTACATTTATAGCCCACCCATCTAGTTGTACCAACTACTCTGGGCGGGTGACAACATATCAAATCTAAGTACAATTTAAAATCATAACATATTACTAAAAACACAATGATCCGGATGGGAGAAGGCACAGAGAACAAAATCAGGCGGTGGATGGAGGAAAGGCTTGCTTGAACAGCCAGGTTTTCAGTTGGCGTTTGAAGATGCCCAGGGAAGGGGCCATGCTGATCTCAGGAGGGAGGCTATTCCAAAGATGAGGAGCCACCGCCAAGAAGGCCCGGTTTCTTGTTTTTTCCTTCCAGGCCTCCCTCGGCGTTAGGCTCCTCAGTCTCACCTCCTGGCTAGATAACTACAAAGTAAATCTCAGTTCCCGTAATACTAACATAGTTCTAAGACCGTATTTACAGACAAAATATTTTCCTTGTTTGATTGTTTCTTGCCCAAAGATCGTTAGTTTGTATTAGGTTTTTTATTTTTTTATTATTGGTAAATATATAATTACGAACAGCTCATTGCAGAGCTAACTTTGATACTGAAAACAGATCCTGAGTCATTCCATTGTTAACATTTCTGTCCAAACTTAAAAACAACAGCAATTCATTTCATACTAACTTGGAAGGATTAGTAGTGTATAGTGTATGTACTGGTCAGGCTGCTCATTGCAACCAATATTATTAGTTTCATTATTTCTGTAGCACTTTTCAGCATATGCAGCGCTTCTGAACTGTTGTGTCATATGTTCTCCTCCACAATCTTATAGGTAGGTTTGTTTCAAAGAAGATGTTCTTCCCAAGGTCATTCCTGGCTGAGCTGGGACTTGAGTATCCTTTTATTCCCCCTTCCCTTATCTCCAAACCAAATACTGTAGCAAACAATCCACACTTGCTGTTACATTGGGCTGGAAGACGCTCCCTGGCAGGAGATATTTTTGGTGGCTTGGCTTGGCTCATTGAAGGAGTATTTTTGAAGTGCCAAGACCTGTGACATAGTGTGATCCCTTTGTCTTCTTTCTGACATCTCAAGAAGAAGCTGTGGGGAGTGGGCTTTTTCTAGAATACACAGATGGTATGTGCCATCTTTCTCTCCTGCAGGGATGAATAGCGTTCTGGGTATCTTTAAAAAATAAACAAACCCAGTCTGTTAATAAAACAGGGGTCTTCTACATGACCTTTCTCCGTGTTGTTATCTGGCTGGATCAGGGTTGGATGGCTCATTGCTTTCAAGGAGACTGCCTGCTCTGAGGCAAAATGAGATACTTAGCTGTGACTTTATCAGGATTTTGTTTGCACAGTAGGAGGTCTCCTAGCAAATCCTCCACAGCCAAGCTGGAAAACAAGGGAGGATCCTTGCCGATTGTCCAGCTACTGCCTGGTGGGGAGGCCCAGAGATGATTGCCAGGATTCTGAAAATGGGATTGTTAGGTTGTCATTGGCAACCACAAATATCACCCATTAATGGTGTCTGGTGACTGCTTACCCAGTCCTGGCTTGTAGCGAAGCACCCCATCAACTCTGGCCATTTGGAAAGTGAATGGGGCCCCTGCTGCCTGGGAGGGGGGGGTTAGGATAGAGGAAGAGATAGAGCCCCTGAACTCAAGTCAGGAGGTAGTGCTTCTGCCATCTGGACAAAGTCCCCAGGATTCATACCTTTCTGCGTAGGCTTGGCAGCTGCTGCTGACTGAGCATTTTTGGGTCTGGAAAGCCAGGTTTGCTAAGGTTTCCTGGGCCTATTTGGGGGATGCTAAGGGGGTATCAAGGCTGCTAGTAACCTCCCTCTTGTATGCCCTTTATTTTCTCTTGCAGGGTGTAGGATGCTGGCTCCGGCGAGGCTAGGTTTGCCCACATGACCTTTGTGACCATCATGCTGTGTCCATGGCGTGGGAAGCTGAAGCTATTGCTTGCCACAGTGACTCTGGTCTTCCTCATCTCCTGGCTGTACCTCTTTATGGGTAATCTAGAGTGTGAGTGAGGACAGGGATGGATCTGTTTCCTTGAATGATGTGTGGTCTTGCTGTGCAGAGAGGGAGCTGGCCTTTGCTCTCTTTGCCTTAGAGAAAATGTTTCTGAATTTCTCACAGCACAGTGCACACACCTGTTTACACACACACACACACACACACACACACACTCCATAAAGACACAGCATTTGGCTTAGCTTCCAGTTATAGGAGAATTAAACAGTAATCCCAATAGCTCACTTTTTAGTTCAATGGATTTATTTTCCAGCTTTCTACAATTTATTTCTTCAAGATAGTTTATATACATTTAGACTTCCTGCTCTGGTCCAGGTGAAGAGACAGGCCATACTCCCATCCCCAGAACTGATGGCCTCACCATCTTGCATCAGCCTGGGCACAGAGCTAATAACAGCATCCAGGCAAGGAGCAAAGGGGCTCTGGCTATCATGTGGTTGGTTATTATTCCTGAAAAGTGGCTTGGTGGTAGCTGGAGCCCTCATTGGAGAAAGGCACATGAAGTTGTCCACCTTTTCCCCCTGCCCTTCTAGTCCTAGCAGTGGGTGACATTGAAGATTTGGTCCCTTAAAGGCACAGGACGATACAAGTGCTAGATCCAAAGATCTTACCTGAGGCAGCATTTTGTTCACACAGTGTTCAACAAGATCCTTGTGGGGCACCCACTATCGAGACATGAGTGCCTTCCCCTTGTGTCTTCCAGAAGATGTTCCACAGAAGCATGCTGCCTCTTCTACGGAATTAGCATCAAGTCATTATGCTTGGTAGCCCATTGAGTAGCCTTATTCTCCATGAACGTGTCATAGCCCCTTCTACAGCTTTCCTAAATCAGTGGAGATCACTGCTGCATCTAGCAGGACAGTCCCTGCTTCCTTTGTGTGCCCTGTGAAGATGTAGTTCCTTTTGATCTATGGCGAGCCTCTCATCATTCAGCTGTATTGAAAAAAACTGCTTCCTGTCCACTTTCTCCATGTCATGCGTAATTTTATATTGCCTGTTATCTGCCTTTTTTTAAGGTTACAAAACCCAGGTGTTATAACCTTTTTTTGTATACAAGAATAGATCTGTTCCCTTGATCATTTTGGTTCCCCTGTTGTTCCCCACTCAGTATTGTTCTGTTTTGTCACCCATTCCTTCCAGGAGCATTTGCTTTGTAGTACTAAACAGGCTGTGCAACATGAAGGATTTTCTTTTTAATGTAATCAACAAAAGAAAGATATTCATGAGTGTAATGCATCTGAATAGGTACACTGCAAAGCGGTGGAAAAGGTTGAAAGTGCATTTAGTAAGGTGTTGTTGAGGTAGAAATGCTCAGGGTGTGAATTTAACAACCACAAACAAGTTGAACAAATACATACAGCATTAAACCTTCGTTTCCATTCTGATGAATTTGGCATTTGATGCTGCTTTTTCTGGTTTAACCTTTTAATCAAAGCAGGGGTTGGTGGACAAAGTGTGGCTCCCCAGAGGCTGTTGAACTATAATACTCAGCATTGCTCACCACTGCCTACACTGGCTGGGTGGCGGTGGGAGGAGGAGGGAGTAATAGACTTTGCAATCCCAACAACACCTTGGAGGGGGCACACTTGCCTGCCCTGAATGAAAACGTTGTGGACAAGGGGGTTTTGCCCTCACCTCTGCCCTGTTTCTGGGGATTCCTTCCACAGATGGATGTCCCCTCATGCTTCCTCCTTGCTTTGGGGAACAGTCAAGCCGGTACTTTGACCGTGAAGCTTTGGTGTCCCAAGTTCGGAAAGTGGAAGAGGAAAACCAGCTGCTGAGACTTCAGCTCAGTCATTCTCAGGCACAGGATGAAACGCTGGATATAACAGATGGCAGCCAGCAAAGGGGAGAGTTCACAGAAGACCAGAATGGACAGAACAACCATACTGGCTGCCCAAAGCAGAGGATGGTTCAGAAGTGTGAGGTAAAGAGGATGTCCCACTGTGTTCTCAACACACTGTGTGAGAGTACTTTGTGGCCCAAGAACTGTGGAGGGAAACCTTGCCGGTCATAATGAGAAGTGTGTTGGGAGGGCCAGCCCTTTGACTCACTGCATTCCTGGAAATCCAGGATGTAGCTTTATCATGCTTCCTCCTCCTCCTCCTGTGACATGAATTTTGCAAGAGGGAAGATATAATGCTTCCATCTGCTTAAAGGAGCTATTTGTGCAACAGTCTAACAGGGCAAGAAAGTAGCATTAGTTGATGGGTGCTTTCATTTCCAACTCTGACCGTGTTCAGCTTCCTATAAAAGGTTTGCTTTATCCTTTTTACGGTGGGAGAAAGTGGCTCTCGTTCTGTTCACCCAGCCCTTAGAGGGGGTGCAAAGAAAAAAAAAGACTTTAGCAGGCCAGGTTATTTTCCATGTTTTATGATGGGGGAAGTAAGTTCTAAATGTCCAGGCCAACTCTAAAGGAAGAAAGCAAGAGAAGGGGATATGGTTTCATACAGTGAGCTGGGTTTGAGTGCTAGCATGCCTGACATGTTCTTGCATTTCCAAACAGCTCCTCCATGTTGCAATTGTGTGCGCTGGATACAATGCAAGTCGAGATGTCGTTACCCTGGTGAAATCCATCCTCTTCCACAGGTAACCATAAAGAAGAAGCTGGGGTGGGTAATATGCTTCCTCCCTTAATGCAGATAACAAAGCTTTGGCCATTCCAAACCTTATCAGTCTGGGAGATCAAGATACAATATCTTTCTGCCCCTTGGCTTCCAAGGCTGAGAATGGCAGAAGGGAAACCTGTTCTGGTCCTATGGATCCTACTCTTTCCCTTCTTGTTCTGGCTGCCAAGATATCACATTTTTGCAGGGAGGAGAGGGTCCCAGGATGGCTGTACTCCGTGGCCAAATAAGTGGGGAAGCACTTCATAAAATATCAGCTGCATCACGGGGGGAACAGAATATCTGGTTTTCTTTATCTTTTTAAAATTGTGTTGGGGTTGACCTATTTCTTTAAAATCTTGCTTCCACCTCTTCTGAGCAGGGAATGTTTTTCTCCCTTGGCAGGAAGAACCCACTTCATTTCCATCTCATCACTGACTCGGTGGCCAGGCAGATCCTGCAGACCCTGTTCCAGTCCTGGGTGGTGCCCTCGGTTCACATTAGCTTCTACAATGCGGATGACCTGAAGGCAGGAGAGATTGATTTAACTTTGTGTCTCT